ATGCTACTTCTATCGTTATTGTCGCATCCAATGTATTATTTATCGAAACACGACGGCTTTGCTCCGACACTCGGTTATTTAATTTTTTTTTTCCCCTACGCTTGCGAAGGCTTGCCCCTTTTCTACGGTCCTTCCATACTTCTGCATATTTCATAAACAAACCATGTCCTGCTAAACAGACCCGACGCGGTAATAGCACATAAAAATCAAGCCACTAATAATGTACGCGAAAAGGACATTACCCCCCAACCCTCGACATTTCATTTCCTATGCTAGACGCAAGGCCGATCAAGTGTAGAGACACGATTATCGATTAGCTTTCCGTTACCACTAGCTCTCGCTTTTCTCGCTATTCTCTCTTTCATCGCTTCATCGTAAATGCCCTCGGAGCTGATATGAAAAAAATTTCGAAGTAGCTGCATTAAAGGCCTGGTAATTTCGAGCACAATCGGCATCGAGACCATTCCTTATTAAATTCGACACATTTTCATTTCATTTCAATCTCAAGACACAATTAAATTAATGTAAAACTATAATGAGCCCTAGGATGTGTGACATTTCTATGTAAAAGCTGTTGGAAATAATCACAAGCGAATATCGTTAGTGAAGCGTTGCTAAGCTGTGAGCATAAAAGAAGCTTTCGGTTGCAAAAAAAATTATTATGCTGAAAAATTAGTTGAAATATAAAAGATTCATTTTTTTTTAACTGATTAAATCGTAAAAAAAAAAATTAAAAAAAAATATTGTCCGAAAATTTTAGAGCAACTACTTGGTAAAGAGATGAAATAAGAAATATATTTTACAATAAAAAAAAGTACTTCACATTAGTTATATACGTTATTTTGACAATACTTCATCTCTCTCTATCAAGTTTTTTCTATGAATATACCAAATAATACAAGATGTTTTTTACGTCAAATATATATTGCCAATATTTGTTTACGATTCTTCGACAATGTTAAACAATTATTTTTATTTGTTACGTTCGACTCATTATTGCACGCAATAAAGCCATAATATGTAAAAACTTGTATTTCAACAAACTAACTTAGATATCTTAAATATAAAAATTAATTATGTCGAGATTAACTTCCATATAAATTATAATTTTTTGTCTACTTATCTATAGTTCTAAATTTTTGCTTATATATATATATATATATATATATATATATATATATATATTTAGTATAAAAGCAAGTAGTTATTCTGAAATTCTTATAAACGTAATTTTACGTCCAATTTATTAGTGAGCGCTAATACGTAAACGATCATTTCTTTCTCAAGAATTCAAAATCTCAATGATTTTATAAGCGAATTAATAATAAACAATAAAGATATTAATATTGCAGTATAATATCAATGCAGAAAACAAGGTGTAAGAGTGTCGAACATTTGCATGACTATTTGCAGAAAAAGTATAGGATATGCACAGACATTTTACACTAATAATAACATCGGCTTTCTAGTATCCAAAGTCCCAGATAGTGACTCTTAATACCGGATTTTGTTACATAATGTGTCATGTGACGTATTAATTTTTTAAAATCTTACGTAAATACTATTGAATGAAATTATTGTTTAATTATTAATTAAGGAATAATTAGTTTAAATCGGCAACTTTAAAATCTAAAATACATATAGTTCAAAGTAATATTAATATCGACTTGAATATTCTTATGAACGTTTTTTGCGTGATTTATCTGTTCGGTCCACATATCTACATAAGCATTTTCCAGATCATCCCTTTACATTATTTTGCACGAAAATTCAATTAATCATTACTAAAATTCAATAGAATGAAATTAATTATAAACATTAATAGCTTTAGAAATTTATTTCGTATAAAAACTTTCTATGTATTATTATGTATTATAATTATATATATACATACATATATATATATATATATATTATAATTTTGCACACGGCAATGTATAATTTAAATATGAAAAAATTTAGTATTAATGAAAATTAAAAACTGTAATTTTTTTTATTTGTTATTATATAAATCATGTAAGCAATAAGCTTGTACATACATATTTATCGGGGTATAATTTTTGTTTTGTTTTGTTTTTTTGTTTTCTTTGTAAATTAAGATTTATTGCATCGGCAATAAAGACTAATATTCATGTAAATGAAAGATGTACAATTTTACAATGTAGTTATGCTTATCTTGTAAAACATTATATTTTTAAACATGTAAGGATGTAATATGTAGACCAAAAGACCTTGACACTAAATTCTTCTTTGATCAAGGATACATGTAAAACGCATCATGGATCATAAATATACATTCGAATGTATCATACATTTATGTACGTACGTATGCGCGTACGTAGTTATACACGTATGGATAATTGATAGAAAGACTTGGCCAATACGATTATTTTCATTATAAAAAAGTTTTACAATAGAAAAGAAATTGTTCGCCCCTCGCGATCTTCGTATTTAAAATAAAGTTTCAAAATCTATTCTATTTGATTTAGTCCCTCTAGAGAAATGAAAATGAATCCACAATGCTACGTTTTAATGATTGAAAGTATTTAATTTTGAATGATTGAATATAGATAGATGGCTTTGCTGTAATTTATAGTTGTTGATTATTTGCAACTATCACTTTCAGTCAATGGCTTTAAAACGTAAAGTCGAAGATTTAATCGCTCAAACAAAGCTAGCTGTACGCGCCAATATATTTACAAAGAGACAACTTTTAAGCAACATAAATATAAATATTTTGCGAGATGCTTAACCGAGTGTTTGAGAATAAATATTCAGGCAATTCGCCTGAAAAATCGAGTTCGATAATAAATCCTATGGTCACGTATGGTGATAACGCGTGGTCGATGGGAGTGCGAAAAACAGCAAAATACTTTATTCGCAAAAGCCAAATGAAATTGTTTCCCAAGCACGCGGACGCTTTGCCTCTTTCGTTCACCGACGCGTACATCCCCAAAGAAAATGCCCTCGCGATGCCAAGAGACCCATGTGTGTAGGCAAGCCTCGGTTGATAAAAACTCGCCGCTAAGGCACCACTAGGTAGCGCTCGTTCAACGGAGTTTCGATGTACTATTGCTTCGTGGAATTGCAATGGACAGATATTCGAGATTCTCGACGTTCGATAGGTTAACTTTCGAAAATGCGTGCAAGTTGCCCATAATCTATAATGACGAATTAGTGATAATTCGCGTAGGCCGGTGACGTGCTTGTTTCACGTCGCACCGCCGCTCGTATCCATGAACAAATGCCCATCAACTTCCAACGGGCAAATTGCACATGCGTAACCGATGTTTTATTAAATAATAAAGAAGCAAATAAAAACAATTGGATGATGTATTTAATGCGTTGACCGTTGACATTGAAACAAAGATGAGCCGGGACGATTGTGACGCCATGGACGCAGGGGGACTGGGGGAGACCGAAGCTATCGACTAAGCAAACAGATGGCCTGTCGACCATGAAATATTCAGGGTCCGAAGGAAGCACTCGCACGTAGTCTAATAGCCACCAGGTGAAACTAGTCGACGTCTCACGTTAAGAGTCGACGTCTCACGTTATATATATATATATATAATATATATATATATATATATATATATATATATATATATATATATATATATATATATATTATATATATATATATATAACGTGAGACGTCGACTCTTAACGTGAGACGTCGACTAGTTTCACCTGGTGGCTATTAGACTACGTGCGAGTGCGCGAACGCCTCGCCTACGAAATGCAACGAATGCAAATGGGGTTAGATGCAACAAAGGGCACAGACAGGAATAAAAAGTAGGTAAATGGATGGAAATGTAAAAGGGACGACCAGGCCGGTCATGACTTTCTTATATGACAGTACTTGCCTAGCTGAATTATTTCCACATAGCGGAGCAATTACGACATGAAGCGGTGCGCAACGATTGCACGGGAGCTTAAGACTAAATGTACGCACGAGGATTCGGTCAATGGGTGAATAAAAAATGTCCCTGGGAGACTACGCGATGGTCGGCTGCACTTTACATGAGGCAGCTCCCAATCACTTTCGAATCATGCAAATGGAGAAAACTCGGCGGGTCGTGCGTAGATGCGGGCAGCGCGGAAAAGCCGAAGCCGAGGCTATTTTCCATCTGGAAAATATCGCGAATCGCGTCGGGCAAACCAACGCTCTACCTATGTATGTCCATGAATTTAGCTACGACGGCTCGTAACGAGTGCAACGCGACCTGCCAAAGTTCACTTTCAAAGATGCGCCTGCTACGCAAAGAAGGAGAGCACGCATAAATGATGACATTGAAAGAAAAATTTGACGGCGCAAATTACGTAACGGAGCTGGTGGCCGAGCGCTCGATTCGAGGCTCCTTCTGCCCCAGGGTGAATCGTCAAAATGGGCGGCGGCGGCGGCGGCGGTGGCGGTGGCGGTGGCGGTGGCGGTGGCGGTGGCGGTGGTGGTGGCGATGGTGGTGGCGGTGGAGGTAGCGGTGGCGGCGACCACGGCCAGGTTTTACGAGCCTACGGAGTTGTGACGCAATCAGGATTTAAATTCGCGGGGGCTGCTAAGCGGGTGCCCGGCACGGATGTCGGGGGTGTCAGCCCGTCCGTGCCGGCGAGGATGCAACAACTCCGGCGTTACGTAAATAAATACGAGCTAGCGATATAAAGTGTTACGAGTCAATAACCTCGGGGTGGGACAGGGGATGGAGAGCCGGCCGGGGGAAGCGCGAGGAACGGGCCGTTGACTTCCGGCGAGAGCAAGATGGAGCGGAGCGCCCACGGACCATTACGAAACCACGGGCCCTTCCAATTTTATCGAGAGACGCACGGGTTGCCGGTACTGTGGCCCACGTGACGGGACCCAACGAGCGATGTGCATCGATCCCTTCCGCCCTTGTCCCGATCGCCGACTAATTCCCCCGCGACCGCCCCTTAGGCTCGCTCGAGCAACCGACCGCCGTCCATCTCGCACCCAGACGTTACATCACAACCTCGGAACTCACTGCCAATGTTGAGGGTCCTCCATCGCGTCTTCCGCTTGACGCCCCTCTTGCCCATCGCTCCTCCTCCTCCTCCTCCTCCTCCTCCTCCTCCTCCT